ACATCCCGGATCTGATGAAATAGGATGAATTGAGACGGTATTTTGTAAATACGTAATTATTTTGAATATATTAACCATTTCTTTATTTTTCGATCACTTGGAAGGGACAAAAGAAAGACACAAGGCGAACTAGAATAGGCTGATTGATCCAGGTAGTGACAGGTTCCAATCGAAAGGAACTGCGTGTACGCTAGAAAGACGTATAGGCAAGCCTTTCTTTATGATCATATGGATCGCTCTAAAGTATATTTCAAATTGAAGTAATCATTTAAGTCCAAAAACTGCTCAGTAACAGTCGGACAAGTGGCGATACCCTCTACAGCTTGACCCGCAGCAGTCCTTTGACCAACTCCGGGTCCAATAGAAGCAAGCCCTACGGCCAATCCAGCAGCCAATTCTTGTTCATTGTCATTGAGATTCATGTCAATTCAGATTAATATTTAGGTATCGATATTACCTCTTTTTTTACCGCAGAAAGATTCTAAATATGAGAAGTTCCCCTTGGATTCGAGAAGAAGGAAATGAAGAACGGGAACGAAACGAAACAAAGCATTTCGAGCTCTAGTTTCGGATGAGTTTCTCCCAATTATGTCTGCTAATAGAATAGGGTGGCTTTCTCTCGCCAAGACCCTCTGTTTCGAATGAATCTTTCGATAATCTGTAAGAAACTATTTATCTATTTTTAGAAAATTTGAAGACAAGAATAAAAGACAATCTTTGAAAAAGTCTTTCATAAGAAAGAAAATACTTACTATCTTTGGGATCTGATCCTACACCGCTGCTCAAGACTTTAGTGGATCGACTCTATTACATAAGTTAATTCCTAATTTTTATTTCACATCATGAGATAAGTATTTCTTCCATCATGACATAAGTACGCAGTTATTATTGTATCGGCCCAAAACCTCGCTAATTGATCTTTACGGTGCTTCCTCTATCTCTATCAATTAAAGCCTTATATCCATAGAAAAAAGTTGCTAGGCATTTTTATTTTTTCCTATTTTGACTTCTATGANGGTTCAGTTCTCCACCTTAACGACAGAAAATAGGATTGATTTCTGATTCATTTTTTTCTTACGACACGATACTCAAATCTAGATTCACTCAAATCTAGATTTTTGTAATTATGATTCAAGTGAAGAAAAAGTAAGCCTATTTTTTTCGGGCATTAAAACTAGTAGTTCTAGCGGTCGACTCGGGCAATTAGGATAAAACTCAAGTGAGGGAAAAAAGAGTACGACTTGGGGACACTTTGCCTCTTAGAAGTTGAAGTACTTGAGATAGGTAATGTTCCAGTTGTTTGGTAGTAACTTTCCTTCCATTGTCTCTAGTTGGACTGACCCTTTATTTGCCTTTGCCATGACTTCGTATGGGCCGTCCCAATTCGTTTCTAGCTTGCCTTCTCGTGGGTCTTTGCTCGCTTGTGTTTTAGCTTTAAGCACGTAGTCCCTGACTTTGAGTGGCCTGACCTTTGCCTTCTTGTTATAATAGTGTCCTGCTTGTTGTTTTTGGGTGATCATCCTTATGTAGGCCATATCTCTTTGTTCTTTGACTTTGTCGAGTTCCTGCCTTCTTCTTTCATTGTTCCTTGGTCCGCTCTCATGGGAGTAACTTAGGCTGGGCTCTCCGATCGTGACTAGTATTACTTCATCGATACCATAAAACAAAGATTAGGGCGTCTTTCCAATGCTCTTCTTCGGCGTTGTTCGATAAGCCCATAGTACTTTTGGTAATATTTCTGGCTAGATTCCCTTGGCATCTTCAAGCTTCTTCTTCATGATGTTCAATATCAACTTATTGGAGGATTTAGCTTGGTCGTTGCCCGCAGGGTGATATGGCATCGAGAGTATTCTTTTGATATGCCATTCCTCAAAAAACTTGGCAATTTTCTTCCCCGTAAATTGGGGTCCATTATCGCAGCTAATCTCTTTGGGAAGGCCAAACCAGTGTATGATGTTTCTTCATATAAAGGTGATCACTTCCTGTTCACGTATTTAGAATTCTCCTACTTCCACCCACTTAGAAAAATAGTCAGTTAATACCAAAAGGGATCGTACGTTACCTCATCCAGCCGGGAGGGGGCCCACGATGTCCATTCCTTATTTGATGAACGACCAAGGTGAGGTGACCGAGTGGAGGTGTTCGCTCGCTTGATGAATCATCAGAGCATACTTTTGGAATTGCTCACATTTTTTCACGAAGTCCATGGCCTCATTTTTCTTGATGGTTCAGTAGTATCCTGCCTGTATAAGGCATTTGACTAGAGCCTGATTACCGGAGTGAGCCATAAAATGGCCCTCATGGACCTCTTCAAGGACGCGCTATATCTGATGTGGGCCCAGACATTTTTCTAGGGGGACGCCGTAAGTCCTCTTATACAGGTCATTGTTGATGACATTGTACCTGGCCGCTTGCATTCTTAGTTTTTTGGCTTTTTTTTTGCCATCTTAGAGCATGCCATTCTGCAAATATGTAATATACGATTGTGCCAGTACCAAGTTAAGCTTATTGTTCTTACCTCGATTTAATCAAGTGATTAATTGAGGAAGTGGACTATGTTTTTGTCTCCGGTTATGATGTTTTTAGTGGCTGCAGCCAATTTGGCAAGGTTGTCCGCCTCAATGTTCTGTGCTCGGGGAATTTGGTCAAGTTGGAATTCGTCGAACTTAGGCAGCATCTTGAAGATTTTAGTCTAATATTTTCGCAGTCTTTGTTATTTGATTTGGTAAGTCCCTATGACTTGGTTGACCACGAGTTGGGAATCATAGTGTAGTTTCAACCGTCTCCCCCCTCCCCAATTGAGTGCTAGTCTCAAACCTGCGATCACAACCTCATACTCGACCTCGTTGTTAGTCATATCCGGGTACCGTATGGACTGGTGAATTACTTTGCCTATTGGGATTTCGAGCACGAATCCTAGTCTGGCCCTTGATGCGTTGGATGCGCCATCGGTGTATAGGACCCAGAGATTTTGCATTTGGAGGGAAGTTTGGGCGCTTCTATATCAACTTCGGGCACTACCTTTGCGTTGAAGTCGGCGATGAATTCAACGAGCACTTGTGACTTTATCATTGTTCGTGACTGATACATGATATCATGCTTGCTCAGCTCGATGGCCCATTTGTCCAGCCTCTCTGATAGCTCGGATTTATGCAAAATGCTTCTCAAAGGGAAAGTTGTGATGACCGAGACATGGTAGCCCTGAAAATATGGTCTAAGCTTTCGTGAAGCTACGAATTAGGCCAGGGCCAGCTTTTCGAGGTGAGGATACCTCGTCTCAGCGTCGACTAATGTTTTGCTAATATAATAAATGGGGGATTGTGTACCTTTGTTTTCTCAAATCAGGACCACGCTCACAACCACTTCGAATACAACAAGATAAATGAGGAGACGTTCTCCTAGCTCTAGTTTGGAAAGAAGAGGTGGCAATGAAAAGTATGTTTTTAATTCTTTCAGGGCTAGAATTCACTCCACAGTCCACTAGAGGCCATTATCCTTCTTGAGTACGGCAAAGAAATTGTGACATCTATCTGATGATCATGAAATGAACCTCGATAGGGCGACAATATGGACAGTTAACCTCTGAACCTGCTCTTTAGTGGTGAAGTGTTCCGGTATCCCCTCGATGGCTTTGATTTTGTCAGGGTTGACCTCGATCCCTCTCTGTGATACCAGGAAACCTAGAAACTTTCCTGAGGCCATGCCAAATGCACACTTTTCGAGGTTCAGCTTCATTACATATCGCTTGAGTATGTTGAACGTTTCTCTCAGATGGTCGATGTGATCTTCTTTCCTTTTGGACTTGATCAGCATGCCGTCTATATGGAATTCCATTATTTTGCTTAGCTGGTCCTTGAACATCCTCATCACTAGCCTTTGGTAGGTCACCCCCGCGTTCTTTAACCCGAAGGCCATGACCCTGTGAGCACGTGATTTTTGCCATATATGAATTATTCCCATAAATTCAAAACAAAATAATTTTTCCATTGTTTGCAATTTTGTGGATTTTTTGTGGCATTTTCTGTTATTATTTGCATATTGTCGGTGCATGTTAATTTTGTTTAATTAATTAAAAATACAAAAATACATGGCATGTGCATTTAGGATTTAGTTCCACATGCTAAGATTAATTAGCAAATTAGTTGTTTATAAAAATGAAAAAATTACAAAAAAAATAGTTTAATTTGCACTTTTAATTTTAATTTTGAATTTTGGGTAGTTTTCTTTAACTTGTTTTCTTTATTAATTGTTGTAACTATTATTTAGGTTTAATTATTGCTTTTGATAGGTTAATTAGGTTTTAGGATTTAATTTAGATTTAAATTTAACTTTGAAAAAAAAAAGAAGGAAAAGAATTATTGGAAAATTTGATTTGAAATAGGAATACAAAAGAATAGAAGGATCAGAATTTGGGTTGCCTTGTTTTACCCAGGCCCAACGTTATTTCCTCCAAAACCCGCCCCAAATTGATCCCAAACCCAGCCCAGTTTCCCGATCCGTCTCCCTTTAAGACCAAACGACCCCGTTTAGCTAGTCTTGATCAGGGCCGTCGATGTTCCTTGATAGGATGGTCGAGAACTGCCCCCCTAGACTATAAAGCTGTCCGAAACAGCCCTACCCCCCTCAGAACCCCCCTCTATATCCTCATCGTCTTCAACCTCTAACCCTAGAGACGTCCCCCCAAATTTGAGTCGCCCCCGCCGGCGGCGATNCCCCAAAACCCCCCTTCTCTATCCTCATCGTCTTCAACCTCTAACCCTAGAGACCCGCCGCCCAAAAAAGCCCATCTTCAACCCGGCGGCGCCATCCTAATCCACCCCAAATCGACACCACAAGACCACCACGACCCCCTCGTTCCAAATCCCTGATTGGTTTTCCTCGAATCTTCACCAAACCCGTCGAATCTGGGTTTGAAGATGAACCCTAAAAATTCAAAAAAAATCCCAAATCGAGTTTTTATGAAAGATTTAGGTCTAATATGACATTATTCGTGTGTTCTTTATAAGAACACACGATTAATATCAAATTTAGCCGAAAATCCGAAGATTTGAAGATTCGGGTTCCATTCTCCACTGTCCGAGCTTTAGTAGGTATTTTCTTCATTTTTCTTTTTCTATTTTTCTACTTCTTCTCATTTCTGTTCGTTTTCATTGTCCCTCTCCCTTTCCTCCAGTCTTTTCTTAGTTAGATTTCTTGATTTGAATTTGGTAAAGTATTAAAGCATTGATTATAAGTTTCTGTGTTTATATGGTATTTGTATTTATTCCATGAGCTTTTCAAATTTTCTTGTAGAAGTTCTTTTAAATTCCGTTTTAGTTTATGCATATTGCCCGTTCAAGTTCTGTTTTGTTTATCCAGTCATATGATTGGCTCAGGTTAATTCGAATATGTGGTTTATTTGTAGCTCGTCGTTTTAATTTAAAAGAAGATCAGTCAGTTCAGCCTAGTTTTAGTTATGAAAAAATTCAAGTAATTTTGTTCTTCCAATATTCAAATGAGCTTTTGATATTGTTTGGGCCTTGAGGCCATTTTCGAATCCTTCATAGGGGTCTGTTAAGTATTGGGTCAGATTTTACCCATCAACACTTCAAATTGGGTCAATTTGATCCATATCTCTGCCTGGCGCAAGGGTAATTTCCAGGTGCTTAAGGGGTAGTTTAGGAACTTAGGCTTATGGAATCTCTGAATAACTGAATAGGAAGCTTCTAGGAAGCTGGGGAGGGGGACTGTTCTGAATATCTGATATTTAAATTAAGGACTCCTAAGCAAAAATAAAAATTCCAAAAGGTTTTAAGTGTAAAATCTGATACCTTTAA